ATGCATGTAATTATCTTCTTTACGAAAAAAGTGAATGTGGCAGGTTTTTTTACCGAATATACGTGAATTTTTCTACCCTTGGGGAAGAAACAGAAAACATAAGCGGAAAATTGAAAAAAAAAACACATTTTTTCCGAGCTTTCAAAATTATAAATAATTCACAGTTTTACATAAACTGCAATTCTTTACTAGCATCTATACCGCTCATCGTTACATATTCACGGTTACAATGAATGGCTAATTTCAAATATACGTAACCTGTATTATTATTTATTAGATATTTATTTATTTGATAGTTGCACGGAAACAAAGATCATTGACTTGTTTGTAGACTCAGGTGTCCCGATTATTTTAAACATTAAGTATGTACTGATTATATTAAGTTCTATGTATACTTGAGAAATGTTTTATTCATATTTTTTGACAGTTACTGAGAGATTCTCTATAATATTTATAAGACTAAGTTTCTTGCTACTCGTAAGATTTACGAGAAATCATAGATATTTACGAGTGATCGTGAGTCTTATGATACGCATAGAATAGCAGTTCCAATCATAAGTTCTTACGTGCGATTTTGTTTGGAATTGCAGCATTATTCTTCTCTCTACGTGCGCAGGGATGAACTTTTCGCTGTCTGTGCACGCGTTCGTTCCTCGACGTTCTTCTCAAACTTATTTGATTTGCACATTTCGATGAGATTTTTTTTATTTCGAACACGTTGTTGCCTTTCAAAGACCTCGGATTAATTTTCCAGCTACGTTCGTGCCGCTCGCTTAGAAAATCTCGACGTGTTTGAAGATTAGATACTGAGAAATATGTGTTTAAAGAAAGATTATACGAGTCGCCTGTGCCGAGATGGCGCATCACCACGTGGCACCACGTACCGACGTTGTTTTCTTCACGAAATAAAATGCACGGGATGCTAACGGATCGAAATAATATCTCGCTGCGTGGGCGGTGGTCATCACACGTCACTGTTCGACACGTCCGTCCGTTCGTTCTTTCGTCCTTACGTAAGACGGTCGCGCACGCGGCTTTAATCAGCTCGCCCTTGAACGGAAACAAATGTACGCGAATATCAGGCTTCTCCGCTTTACATTTACGTTTATACATAAATTTATCGTTGCGCGTAATTGCCACGACGGTAATTAACACCGTTCGATACCGGCTCTTTATCGCGCCAATTAATGGTCGAAAGTTTCAGAAACGTTCGTTTTCACATAGTATCAAATAAAACGAAGAATAAAAATTCCCATTTTTTTGCGTGAGAAATAGGTTCTCCGTATTTTTAGCTGCAAATTACGACTTTGTCGGCAAACGAACAGGATATTTAGCGTTTCGAAGTGTGTTAATCTTCGAACGACGTTTTTCACGCAAATTTAAAATGTACATTACGTAATTTAAATATTCCGGCTCTCGGGATTATATATTTTCGACGTGGAGCTCACGAGGAGTCGAGTCGTTTTCTCTAAATTTCTCTAAATTTCTTTTTCTCGCGTACTTGAAAGAAATTGGTCTTTATGGCGAGCCGAAAAAAGCCAAGCTCTAAATCTGTCGTCTCGTTATCGCCTTTAGCGCGGCTTGTCATCCTTTTGTTTCTCCGCGGAGGGGACGTATTTGACAGTTTGAAATATGACCGAGAAGGAAAAAATAACGATGATGTTTGCAAAAGATGAGGACGTATTTTAATACGACATGTTTCTGTATATCTCATCAGTGTCAACGATATTGGAGAACGTTGAGATTTGTTCCTCGAGAATAGCGTCTTATACATTCTGGATCTCGCGAAACATCGGCGAATTAACAGAAAAAGAAACAGCAACGTGAATTCTTTCGTGTAACCGAATTCTTGATCTTCAAAGTCGGCAAATGGGTTCCTGTCGAGGAGAAAAAATTGTCGATACTAATATCATTGTGGGAGAATAAAATTGCTCGACATGTAATAACGCACATGCTGAATGTTCTCAGACTAACGTACGCGGCGAATCAACCTTCCGAATCAATCTTTGAGTAATGCTATTGTAAATTCAAATCCCTCGAAAAACTCTTACCCATTCACTAGATCAATTAGTAAACAATTTTTTATTCCACTTATCATGTTGCGGAAAAATACCGCCAAGTGTCGAACCTGCACTTCCGCATTTTCCGGGCGCGGGATGCATTATCTGTTCAGCCATCGAACCTTCGACAATATTCGCCGCAACAATCGGTGTTCATAAACTTTATATGTATATATGTAGCACGTGCGTCATTATACGCTGAACAATTTTATCCTCGCACAATAATAGACTGAAAAAAATACTACGTTCAAATAAATTATTACTCCGATACTTTTTAACCCTGCTGTTCTGTTCGGATCTTTGACCCAAGAAATCGTTTTTATTTCCCTGTTACATTTTTATGTGATGAGTGAGTTTTCTGACATTTCATGGCTTTGTTTCATAGTTTAGTTTCAAATTGATGTTCTCGAGCTATGGAACTAAGTCATGAGATGTCAGAATGCTCACTCCAATTACATAAAATCATATAAAAATGTTACAAGAAAATAATGATTTTGGGTCAAATAAACCCGAACAGAACAGCAGGGTCAACAAATCTTTATTTGGATTAAGTAAATTTTACTCGGATTAAGTAAATATTACTTAAATGTAGCAAAAACGTGCCACATATTTACTTAATCTAAGTAAAAAATAAGTATTGGAGTAATTATTTACTTTAAAGTAGTACTCTTTTTTTTTCCTTTCAATGTATCGATACTTACAATATTAATACTTAAATCGCACTGTAACATCCGTGTTTTGGCTCCTCATTGCCCTGTATCGTTCCTTATCACTCCTCTCTTAGAGGCAGTCTTAATTAAGAAACAAAATTGATTTGATTCCCCTCAATGAAAATTTCATCGATGTATCTTCCGCTTGCCGCCGTTTGTTTTATCTCTCCTTTCGGAGAGAAACGCGCGAGTATTCCTTTTTCAACTCGTGGCGATGAAGAGAATCAACGGAACGGAGATCGCGTCAACAAGACCGGTTGGTTCTAGCAGAGAGCCCTTGTCCTCCGCGCTCAAAGTCCTCCTCGCGCCTAATACATAAGAGCGGCTCCTGCCAGGGCGAAGCGAGATGGCCGGATATCCTGGAGGTCGATTCCGGTGTGGGTGAGTCCCTTGGTTATCGCGCTAGATTGGAGAATTCGTGGCACAGCGAGTGATACGGCCAGTAATACATACAGAGTTTCGCTTTGCGCAATCGCCTGTGTACGCGGCGATTTTCATACACCGATCCATATCCCTCCAAACTCTCGCCGCTGCTTTGGTTCGAGAAATGCTGAGTTTAGACATCTGCGTTCGTGCTAGGACCCGCTGCTGCTAGAAACCGGCCCACTTGTTGGTCAGATCTACGGGGATCGATCAGTGAAATTTGAATCGTGCGAGAAAAGTGAGAAGCGCGCGGTTTGGACGAGGTCGACGATGCAAGTTGCGAAAGATGGAAAATCTCGCCGATAACTCGCGATTAGTTTCCCGACGCACCCCCTACGAATCAATTTTGTAGCGTGTACTCGCGATTCTTACCCGTAATCCTGAAGGATATATCAAAAATTAGGTTTTCCTAGACCTATCTCCCATTTTTCTCTTTTAACTTTCCTCGGTAACTTTAAAACGCCAGAAACGTTCGAATAAAATTATATCTTGTTAGCAACGATACTTTTACAATTTTGTTTCTGTGAGTTGACTTTTTATTTGCTTTAGAAATATTTCTCAATGTTACTTCAAACATGAGATTCTCTTTATTCAAGTGTTTTTTAGACGAATTTTTTTATTTGATGGATCTAATATGATTTAAAATGTGATTCTAAAGAGTTGTAATTTTTGAGGTGATTCTACGATTGTCGTTTAAAAAGAATTCATCAAACTAGGTTTTCTTAGAGCTTTATTTCCTAAAACATCGAGGCTTTACCTCCTCCTCTTTAACGAGAAATCGACGATGCGACTATTCATGCTAGCGCTTCAAATAAAAATCCCCCAAGCCTCCTCCTTTCCATGTAACACTGCAAATCGAACCAGAATTTATTAATTGTATAATATCATATTTTCTTCCGCGTGTGTTGCAGCATTCAAATTTCAGGAGAACCTCCTGCGCACGATGTTGCAAATAGAAAACACTTTTTTCCAACTCGGTGAGAGCTGCTCGAGGAATTGCTTGATTATCTGCGATCGCGGCGCAATGGACGCCTCTGCTTGTGAGTATAAACTTTTGAAAATCACGAGATAGCTCTAGTAGAAAATAATTAATACATACCTGAGACTTTTTGAGATTTATTTAAACGCACTGTCGCTGAGCAAAATTAAATTGAAATTGTATTTTGCCTTTTCAGTTATCTCGAAGGACAAATGGGAACTCATGATGGCCTCCAACGGATGGAACAACGTCGAGCTTAGGGACAACAGGTACGGCTAGAAATCCATTATTCAAAGAGACTACCGATATCCCCATAGCAATAATCATGTTCTTCAATTAATATTGAATGGATTGTGATTTAATTATATGCGTCGGAGCAGCGAGAATATTTCACTTGATAATTCATGTGCACGTTGTACACAAATAAATATTTATATATAACGCACGCGCAGATTATCAAGTAAAATATTCTCGCTCCCTCCGACGCGTATCATTCCGTCGCATGAATGTAAATATTTATTACGTTTCTTGTCTCGGTCTGGATCGTTTCGATCGAATGATGAAATATTAAACTGGCTTAGCGAGTCTTTCTGCTTTATTGAATCAATGGGCGTTACGGTAATTAAGTTCGATAAAATCGTTGTCGATGGTCTTGGGATAAAAGTCGCACGATCCGAAGAATATAATAAGAATATTTAAGTATACAAATATAAATATAAAAAAAAGGAATATATAATATAATAAGAATATCCTCTCTCTCTCGAAATATGACGCTCTCGTCTTCGTGTGATAAATCACTATCCCGATGTGCTATTTTCTTTCCTAACATCATCCACTCAACAGGTACAACCAGATTATCCACATGGTGTCGGCAGCGAACGGCGCCGAGGAGTTCTACTCCACCGAAGAGCACGTATGTCGCTCGGAAGGCGTGGAGCTCGCCCGCGAACTCGACTACAAAGCCGCGGCTGCCTGGGTAGGTCATCCGTACTTCGATGTGATCGACAACTCACAGGACTTCGAATCCAAGATCTGTCGGATGATCGAGTGTGTGTGCCAGAAGCTGGGCATCGACACGGGTGACCGGCTGCGCGCCAGCAGTCGCAAGGTTAAGTTCCTCATCAAGGCGCCGTTGCCGGCGGACGATAAGTTCCCGCCCTTCCAGGACTTCGACGTCGTGCACAACTACCTCCAGAGCAACAATCCCAAGATGCAGGCGCGTCTGCGTAAGCGTGGCCAGAAAGGTGAGGACGCTCTCCGACTTTGTAGCGAGTTTTTCCGTTTTCTAACAACGCAGCACTACCATCCAGTCACCTAATTTATCTTTATTACTTTTTCTTGACAAATCATAAACAAATTCACTATCGTTTAAAATGAGTCACGTTTTTTCTGAGCTGGCGTTAAATACAATTTGTAAAATACAGGCGTTTTTTATTTATTTGTATGTGTATTTTTCTATGTGTATTTCTTGCCATCTCGTCTGCTGCCGATTGTATCATTCATGCCTCTGGTCTTAAACTTTCAAACCGTACTCTGAAAAATACTCTCACTATGTGTTAAGTTATCCAAAACCAAGCCTGGAAATGTAAATTTTACTTTTGTTTAAATAACCTTAGTTATTCTCTGAATTTGACAACAAAAAGTGTTACTTTCGATGTCTGAGAAGTCACTTTTTGTCATCTTTTTACCAAAAATATTTGGTAATGTAATGATGATATTAAATATCATAATGAGTATGACATAATCAGTACAAAGCGTCGAGTAGGGAGAATAATCTATGGTCGTGCTCACAGATACAACGGACTAACGACGGTCAATTCTACACATCCCGATTATCCGAGATGCGTTGTGTTGTATCTTATAAATTGATGTATTGGTTATCACAGACAGTACTTCACTTACTTGACAAGCAGTATTTTCTTACTTTACAAAGTTTTAAACTAACTTAAACTAACCAGTGAGCTGAATATCGCAGAGACTCCAATGAGAAGATATCATTTGCATTTTTCGTTCTTCTTTAGGTCACTGGTCATACATCCACACGATTCGTCGACCGAAGATATGCGGCCAAGTAATCGAGGTGAAAACTCAACTGACACACCGAGACTATCTGAACATGCTGTCTCAGCGCGATGACTCACACTTCACCATTTTCAAACGTCGCCGCTGCTTCCTCATCAACAATCAGTATTTCCAATTGGACATTTACAGGGAACCGGCGCATCCTAGGTGAGGCAGTTTCTGCGATTTAGAACGGAAGTGAGTAAAAATTGAACGAAAAGAGGGTAATAGCGAACTCGTTTATTGTCAGGTGTCGAGGCTTGATGTTGCTGGAGACTTACACGGCGCTGACAAGCAAGGAACTGAAGAACATCTTGCCGCACTTCCTGACGATCGAGAAAGAAGTCACCGGCAATCCCGATTACAGCATGTTCAATCTTAGCTTGCGTGAAGAATGGGATAATACCAACAAATACTGCCATACCTTAAACGGTACTAGTGTATTGATTGGTGATTAATACTTCAATGTCGACGAATAATTGTTTGTGCATTGTAGCATCGCGTAAGTGAATTGAAATCTTTCGGTACATGTCTATTGGGACAATAGATTTCCTATTAATATATCTGATTAACGTTTATTTTTTTACCCGAGATCAATAATAATGAGAAAAAAATGTTTCTTGCAGGCACGATGCTGTACGAATCGCTACCGTCGGAGATCTTTATTTCGCCGTCGCAGATAATTGTGAGTGAAAAGCCTAGCAAACCAAACGGTTTCGAAGTATACGGGAAAGCCGAAGCTAACATCTCCGGCGTGATCAGCAAGAAGATCAACGGAGTTAACGGAGTTAACGGAGTCAACGGAGTCAACGGTATCAAGAGTATCAACGGTATGCAGAATGGTCTACCGAACGGTAAAGCGACACATGCCGAGCGTTACAATGTGAGCGGCAACTCGACTACGTTACTGGACGACAGTCTACGGAAATTGAACATCGACGATTCGCAAAAAGACGGATTCGAAGACATAATGCATTAACTGGCGCGACAGGCGCGCGAAAATTTTAGATTAGGCAATAAAAAGTGAAGGGGAAAGAGAGAGAGAGAAAGAGAAATCTAGCGAGCCGCTCGAATAATCACGAACGCGTGGACGGTCCTACCTTCAGTCTTTATCAGCACCGACAAGTTATCTGAATTTTAATCCTGGTTAGTAGTTGCATTTGCAAAGACGAAATATAGACGGACACTTCTCGAAGTATACTTCGATGTCGCTTTGTGTGTGAATAAGATTTCTTTTATTTCTGATAAAAAAGAAAACGTTGAAGCTAATAAGAGCAATGCGAGACCAGATTTCCGTAACGCAGAATGGAAAGATTATTGGAATTAACGCGCATTTCATTTTGATGGCTTTGGAAGGAAGTGATGAATGCGGTTACAGCTCAACGCAGTGAATACCATGAATGAAAATAGTATTCACATGTAGAACTATGCGAATACTTTCTTCTACGTTTCCTGTGTGTCGCGGAGCAACCAACTTGGGTATCTCATGGATATTAAACCAGGATTAAAGTAGCAACCGATAGACCTGAAATCTCACATAGATAACATCTATTTTTTAAGCGAGCTTGCGTGTCGTACTTAAGAGATCTCTTCGGCGTGTCTCTTGGAGGCACCATGGCCGGTCTCTTCGAGGTCTCCGTCGAACCTGAAACCATCGAAGCATTCAGTGCACCCCGCGAATCTTCGCAAAATATGATAAAACTCTCACTTGTTCCACAAGTTTGAACACGATCGATCGCTCACGTAATTTGATTCTTCAGTATATCTCTCACATTGACATTTTTGTTCAAATTTCGAAAAATCTCCCGATAAATTTCAAATCTAACAAAAAAGAGAATGTGAAACGAGCGACATCTAATTGATTTCGTCGAGGTTCGCTGGGCTTTGATGCAGCGTTCGAGGCTGGTCTGCGAAGCGCGCGGTAGTCAAGAACCGTGTGTAGTTGAACTATAGTCTAAGTCATTTTACAATGCAAAATCACTGATAATACACAAGAATACTTTTATTGTTCATTCGAAAGGAATCGTGTAAACGTGAAACGAGAGTTGAACATTGAAAAGAATATTCGTAATTTCGTAACGGACACTTTAGGTAAAATTCTGTCAGTTTTGAACTTCTCTTTGTCGATCCCTTAGAGTTTCTATGCATAACTTTTCAACATCTTGTACCTCACTCGCACCGTGTAATCACGATCATTTGCTATCGATGATCGTCATTTCATCGAACAAATCATTTGGAAATGATATCGCCTGTCTGAATATTTCTCGGCAATCTTTTTTTCGCTGTTTGTACTTTATTTTAATATGCAAATTTTAGTATGTAATCCAACTTGATCCAGCTGAATTATTGTCAAGCTAGTGTGCAAAACTATTCAGATACACAATTAAAAACCACACTTTGATGTTGCGATGATTTGTTTTTATAATTTCACATACGTTAGGCTCTACCACATGTTGGGCTCTCAGTCATTTCTATGTTTTTCGATTATGTATTTAAGAATATTCACAGCCTGTATTAGTATATTCCTTCGATGTACTTAATGTTACGCGAAAAAAGGGACGTCGAGAGATTTAAAGATATATTTCGACGATCACAATATGTCATATTACATACATAAATTGCGTACGGTAATTGGATGTCGAAACTGAAGTTTTAAAATGAGTTATCAGATTTTAACTCTTAATGTATTATTATTCCTAGATATAATTTATATAAAGTATAAGTATTAATTATAATTAATATTAAGCTTCAAAAAATTCTGAAAATCCTACATTTATTTCTCGATTTATTTCTCATGTGTGTTGTCGGATATACACTGATATATCTTTATTCTAATCATTTCTTCTTTCATTAATTTTTACTGCTAAATCATTCAAATCGCAAATTGTAAGAAAGTTTTCTATTCAAACGAAAAATTGAGACTGATATAATTTGAAAGGGAATAATTTCAGGAATGTTGTACAACGATATTCACAAGTAGCGAAAGTATATTTTTGAAGAGAATTTTTGTCTTTTTTTTTAAATAAAAATATTTTTCAGATATTCTCTAATGATCTATTTTAGGATAATTCATTTTCAATATTATTATTGGATACTTTCTTACATATTTGATATATTTATTTTATAGGGTTTTTTTTTTTTGAGGTAAGGAATTCTTTTTTTTCCTTCATTCTAAATCTTATATTGATGTTTTAAAAAGTATTTTATGAACTATATCGAGTCACGCCAAGTGATTTTCCTCTTGCTTTCAAGGACATGATCAAAGTGCAAATGATTTGAACTGTTTTTCATGTTTTTAAGTATCAAGTTCTCTGTATATCATATCCAGCACGATTCTCCGTGATTCGTGCGAATTTCGTTTTTAGTATACAATCAAGTTCCTAATTTCGAATAGTTAAAAACTGATAACTCAGTTCGAGGAAAAAGACATGCGCGAACGACAGCGTAGAACGATCCGATGATTATTATAATTAGGGCGAACATTTAATGATCGAGCGTATCAGTACTTAATAATAGGTGCTTGTCCTGTGTTAGTAGGTGTAATTAAGTTAATTGTACATAATACGGCGCGATTCTTTTCGTCGAATCTACTTTCTGTGATTGATTGTAATACGCGTTATTGATATGTATAATCGCGAGAGAAGATCTCACAGAAACAAACTCGAACGAACGGTATACCAACGCTGCTACGAGAGATTTAATGAAATTCTTTCGAAAAGAGGACAGCCTCTTTTTCCGCTAGCATTAATCTTAAGAGTCTATTTTTCGGTGGGCTATTTTAGAGCGCTTAATTTTTCGTTGCTATATTACTGACGTCGCTCTTGAAAATTTATTTCAAGAGAAAGAGAGAGAGAGGGAAGAGACGTTTCTCTTCCTCTTCCACATATTATTAGAATGCTTTCAATGCAGAGTGAGATGTTTCTATATTTAAATTTAATACTGATATAAAATGCTGAAATTTGTTTGGTTTTCCGCATCGCCATCCTAAGTTTGGCTTATACCGTGGTCTCTCGTTCGCTCGAGTTTACTTTTGTAGTTGAAGATCTACGAGGCGACAATTGCCGAAAGAATGACTGCGAGATAGAAAAAAAGAGGCTGAAAGGGGAAGAGGGGGAAGAGGGGAAATATGATGATAACGAGAGAAACGATGATCGCGATATCCTCCTGCGTATTTTTTGTCCGTGAACGTAAATGAATTTTTGCGACGACGCACCATGTGTCGCTGCCCCACGCATTTTCTACGCGCCGAACAAAACTGATCAAGCAAATTTCGCCACAGTTTAGAGACGAAGTGCCTGTGAAACGTTCATTCGCGGAAACAGAAAAAAGAAATATATATGTATATACATATGAAAAAAAAAATATATATATATATATGTATGTATAAACGCGAAAGTCTATATTTTCAATCGAGAGAATGCAATAGTGAGTCGACGCGCGCGCACTCGCGGTTCACACGTATGATGGATCTGAAAGGCAAACAAACCTTGTACACACCCACAGACATAAGTGTCTGAAATAAAAGGAGAAAGAGGAATATCGCGTACATGTCATGTCTCTTGTGTCTTGCTAGCGTATGACTGTGCATTTCAACCTGCTTGAGGCGAAATCTCGGAGACTGAGTCGAAGAATTCGTCCTCTTTCTGACAAGCGAAGTGCTCATTTCCAAAATCTGTTCGGAGATCCGTAAAGAAAGGAGAGTTAGAAAAACGTGAAACAGGCATCAAAAATATTTGAAAATATCCATTCATTTGGAAATGAGCTCCTTGGTCCCTGCAAAATAAATCCATAATTAAGTTACCCAGCAAGGGACAAGCGGATAAAAATTCTGGGAAAGTTCTAGGGAAACTTGTGTGAGATGTGCCGAAGAATCGTGTTATATTGATCTTGCGATTTTCTTATAAAATATACTTACTACTTTTACTATTGCTCTCCCCAAATCATGAAAAAAAGTTCACTTTTTGAGCCGTGGCGAATTTCCTTCAGAAATACAAGTTTATTGCACGAATATATCATTAACTCAGGATATCAAAGGAGATGCAAATTAAAATGAGACACCGTTATAGTATCGTTAAATCGTTTATTGGCAACCTTTTGAAAATCCTCAGAAGTTCGAGGAACTTCTTTCTAGTCGCGACATTCGAATAAACTCTTATTAATTGAACCCCTTCATCTTGACCGGCTATCGTAATTGGTTGTCATTTTCTTCATTAATAAACGATTAGCTTATCAGTGGAGTATTTTTCAACCACTAGACGAAGCCGTCTAAACTTACGATTTGTCAATGAGCTTTCTATATTTTAACTAAATACCATAATCACTTATTTTTAAATAAGTAATTACAGTAGTTGATTAGTGTGTTAACAGAGGTGAATTTCTAGCGCTTTCGACAATATTTACAGGCTCAGTAAACACCAACTAACATAACATCAATGTTACAATTTCCCGCTCAACAATGTAAATGCAACATAATGCGCGTTAACGTTACAATGTTGAGAAATTATACCACTGATGTTATATCACTGTTAGTTGTTTGCTGAGAGATTATTGCAATTAGATCTTCATAAGGTATCAAATTGTCAGTTACTAATATTTTAACTCGTTAGTATAATCACTTATCATTTTTTTTCTCCGTTAACAAATCAATTGGCCAATAGATGATTCTTCAACAACCGGTCACTTCGCTAAGTTTTCAATCTGTCAATGATTCTCTTTTTTTTATTTCTATCACGAAAATTTACACGTCACATTCTCTTCGCGCTCTAACGAGTGATTAGAATAATTGATAGTTTCCGTTTAAAAATTATCTCGTGTAATTAAATCTAACGGAGCATCGAATTTGTCGATCGCAACATATATGAAAGGATAGGGTAAAAATCTATCTTATAAAAACAGAGAGAGAAAGAGAGAGAAATATAATCGCATTCGGCTTAATCCTAAGTTTGCGGGGAAACGCATGGAAGTGTCGCGTGTCGCTAAGTATATACGGTTGATAATACAAATATATGATAGGTATATAACTTTTTGATAAAAGTATAATTCTCGTAGAAAATATAAATTACATAATCACGACCATATAGCCTTGCTGCGATATTCTCTGTGTATAATCGGAAGTATAAAGCAAACTTTCGGACGTTTTACATTAACGCGGAGAATGAATTATCGGGGGAAACACGTAATAACGAGAAAACAACACGTTCGCTTTTGCTTTCGCAAAAACGAAAATTCCAACGCTTTGTACATCAGACATAACATTTCTCGCGTAGATCTTATCGGGACGAGTTTCTCGAGAATAATTCATGGACTTTCACGGAATATTTGACGCAACCCCGCGGTAACCCCGGTGATGATTAAACTCAGCCGGGCTTCTTCGTCCATAGACATCCCTGTTAGTGACCTAATCTACTGAAGTCCCTGTGTCTCTATTCTACGCATCGCAAGTTCGTTCGCAATGGAAGCATAAATCGGAGTTACATTTTTCTTTACAATCATGAAATCGTTATACCTATTTTCGAGATTTTTACCGATTTTCTTTAAGGCTCGCCTCCCTTCGCTAGCTATATTTGTTTTGTGACGTCATAAGCGAGAAATGACGCGCAGTAAGTTTCTTGCAACGTGTAGCCTTATTTTTTTATTTCCCCTGAGAAACACAATGATTTCGTAATTTATGAAATATGCAGAATCTGAGATATCTGACCGATGTATCATGTAAAATTGCAAAATAATTCATGAAATAACAGGTCACAACCGCTCGAGAGTATGGCTGAAAAATGATCTGTTATTTCAAGAATTATTTTGCGATCTTGCGTGACATATCGGCCAAATATCTCAGTTTTCTGCACATTTTACAGGTTTCAAGATTACGAAATCATTGTCTGTTTCTGGAGACACAAAATTAAAAAGTAAAGCTACATGTTGCAAGAAACTTACCGCATATGACGTCACAAAACCAATATGACTAGCGGAGGGAGCCGAGCCTTAAACCCCGCATTAAAAGCTTCTACGAGCTCCTCTCCTTAATGCATTTCTCCCATAACTACGTTAAATAATACTCGCCTTTTCTCCCGTTTTTATCTCTCTCGAAACCATCTTACTTGTCCTCCCCACTTTCCTTTATCGAGACTACTTAACGTTATTTATCTAGCGACGCTTTTGGTTTGTTGCGCTTTGTACAGCTTGAAGACCCTCTTATTGGGAAGCAACGATCGAGTGTAAACCTCTTCACATATTCCCTCTTATACATCGCCGCCCGTCTGAATTTTCTCTCCCACATTTGCCTTCCCACTTCACCCCTTTTCGTCAGATTACCTAACAGTATTCATCTACGGTTTTGGTTTGTTGTGCTTTGTACAGTTTGAAGACCCTTTTGCTGGGAAGCAACCATTGACTGAGACCTGGCCTCTTCTTGCGCTTCCTGTTGTTGCCCATTCGATTGTTCTCCTGATCTACCTCGTCGTTCTCGTCGTCGCCAGTATCGTTTAGCGGTTGTTGCTGCTGCTGTTGCCATTGTTGCTGACCATTGTTGTATCGCGTCTGGCAGACGAGCGTCTCTTGGGGTGCACGCAACGCCTCCAGCTCGACCGCGCTACGATGCAGATCCGAGTCGTGGGCGAAGGCGCAGTTGTGGCCGAAGCGACAGCGACCTTTTCGGTAGTTCCAGCAGATCTTGCGACCGTTGATGGTCTTGGTGTCGTCCAATGTCGGCGTCATTTTCACATGTTTCTCCAATATCGCGCTCTTTGCCCGTTCCGCCTCTACGAACGGATTCGAGAACACCGACGTGCGCAGCAACGTAGGCGCGCTGTCGAAATCTGGCGTTGGCAATGGAAGCTTTTCTCTGGAAGCTGCTTCGGTCGTCGTTCTCACCAAGTATCCATCGTCATTCTCCCTGTCCTCACTGTTGTTCCCTCTCGATTCCTCATCCGCTTCTTCCTCCTCTTCTTCATTCTCCTCTTCCTCATTTTCCCTTATCTGTTCTACCTCCTTCTCGTCCTCCTTAAAGCTAACGGTGAGGCAATATCAGATCACAAAGAACAAGCTGAATTCTGCATATAGATACCGGTTGTTGAACTCAAATCAATGTTCAGCATGACTCTGTTTCTTGAGTGTGTGCGTATATGTGTATGGTATGCTGTGCTACAATGCGAATAAATAAGCCAGTGCTAATGGCTATGTAATAACAATGTTGGAGCAAATGCATATGTACACGTATATTTATACAAGTGTAAAATTACATGCATTTGAATCGAAGGAAACGTGCTGTAAAAAATAAAAGTCGAGTCAAGTATACGACAAGTACATGTTCACATATTGTGGGAGGAGGAAGGGTCGAGCCAAGTGCGGGAAGAATGCAGGTGTTAGGGAGAGAGACTCGATATATGAATTTCGAGAGGTTAGGTAGTGACTCACGGCGAGATGAGTAGCGTTAAAAAGAAAACTAAAGCGGAGAGCGTTGATTAGCCTAAATGGTTTAGAACGACACTTACAAATTATCATTGATATTGTTCGAAATATCGTCATTCGTCTCGCTGTCCGAACCAGAGGAAGTGCCGTAATCCGCGACCAGGGAAGCCATAACAGTATCTCAGTCAATTGTTACATACGAACTAGACGATGATCTATTGTGCGATCTAACCTAACATAATCATCGTCATTCTAGCGTCTAATCTAACATAATCATTATGCAAGGCTGCTGTACAAGACCGTGTCTGAAACGGTCCGAAGTTGGTGCGCACAGCTGTGGTGGTGGTGCGACATCTGGTGAGTAGAAAGGAAAGAAGAGAACGTCAAATCGAAAGCTGAAGTCTGAAGTTGTCACCGGAGGACGAATATTTGCTGATAATGTATGCATTTTAATAAAAATTTAAATTAATGTAAATTTTAATCTACGGGCATTTGTATGCCATTAAAGTGTGTCACAGAATAAGAATAAGAATTCTATTTATGGAATCCTATTCCATTTTTATAGATTTATAAGAATAATTATATTTTTGCCAAGAGTCCAAATTTAATTTAAATCTTACTCAACCATCAAAAGAAACGTAGCCTACATATATTGGCCCGTATTCAGAATGCATTTACAACGATGTTAGCACGTTATCAAGTTAAGAAATATGAGTATTCTCAGTATATTACGAATGCGATAATAACAATGCTCTGTTATGCCTTCTGCCCATAGGACGCGGCAATGCTTGCACCAAGAAGCGACGCTAATCAACGTACCGTTTCTCCACGAGAACTAAAAGTTTATTGGCTGCCACATCGTTTCTTGCCGCGCGGCAAGCGTTACCGCGTCTTGCAGGCAGAAGCCTTAAGAAAATTGACTAATCACAGTCGATTACGAGGGGAATAATCGATTGTGATTAGTCAATTTCTTAAAGCCTAGGGTTTAAAGCATCTATCTAAGATAGGGACTAACTCCCGATTCCATCAATTTCGGTTAATCTAATCGATCGATTAACTCAACGAAATTGACCAATCACAAGGATCAATTATCTAATTGACAATGCGATTGGTCAATTTCATTGAGTTAACCGGCCGGTTAGGTTAACCGAAGTTAAGGGAAAAGTTACATGATCGATGCCCTGATTGGACAATTAAATGATACTCTACCTGTCGAGGAGAATTTCTGAACATAGCCCTTTGGAGTTTTTGGAACGCAGCCTTTTATGGCAGATAGTAGTTCACCAGAGAGAGGGTCATGGTGCGATAGGATTGTACTGTGCAACCGGAGGTTCAGCCGCGTAAGGGAGCGCGGCTGACCGGAAGAAAAGGGATACCATAGACTAAAACGAACATGAATGCGAGGGGCGATTGTGATTGGCGGGGGCTGCCAACGAATAGGAGAGCGTCGCGGAAGGGGGAGAACATTTGAAATGAAAGAAGAGGAAAAGGCGGGCAGTAGCATGCAGACGCTGGAAGCGAGAGGAAGCAAAGTCAAGGAAGCGGAAAACTACGCAGAAACGTAAGGGACCCTGGAGAAGTTGCTGACGGAGAAGAAAGCTGGTAGAAACGTCCTGGTGCAAATCTCCTGGTGGAGGCCCAGGGAGATGGGGGGAAACGACCGATCGCCTGGCGACGATAAGTGGGCTATAAAATCGCCACAGTTCCCTCGTAACTTTCCGGAAAAAAATCGAGACTCCTCGTCGGAGAACCGAGGCATCCGGTGGGAAGCTCGACGCGGAACGCGGTACCGGTGAACGGTATCGAAAAACTAAGTTTAAAAGAGAAAGGATCCCGTCGTCGGCGGGATCAAAGAGCTGCCCGATACCTGTACGATAAGCTGACGCATATTGCGTTATCCTGTCGTGCGCGCCCGATCGTGTCCCGACGTGTTCGCGACGATAGTCCTGCGTCGGGATAGATCTATAAAAAATAAAATATCCTCGAACTACGACGCGTAAGGATAATTGTTTTATTTTATCGGCGTATTGGTCCGTGGAATAATTACATCTTATATATATATATGTTTTTTTTATTGCTTAAACCGCGTGATATTGGGAGATTAGTCATATAAGATTCGTTTATCATATTTTTTTATCATTAGTCGCATTGTATGATATTCATCGCTCACCTGTACATATTCATTCTGCGTCCAACAAGTGCGTTAAATATCATCAAACTTTTCGTACGATTCTGTTTTGTTCATTAAGTTCGTTTTGCTCTTATAGGATTTATAGATCCGTATTTTTTGTTATTGCTTCATTTTTTAAAAATAGATTTCATCTTATATGCTCTCAAGGGGTACGTGTTCATTCTTTCGCGTTTTTCCTATCCTCATACCCAGTGTCTGAAGCGAGCGTCCGGTGATCCGAACATTTCTTCGGGGACGATGACTCTATCAGGCATGGAATCCCTCTATATAACCCCTAACAGTAAAGGCGCATCTGGGGAGATTTGGCCGGTCCAGTTTCCCGGGCCTGGAGTTTGGGCGAAGCTCTCAAAAAGAAAAACGCCCTGGCGACCGTGGATGGGCAACGGGATCCGTGGGGAAATTCACTTCTAAAGGTTCGGAGGGACCTGGAGGTCTAAACGTCGATGTTTTCACTCAGCTAGTGACATCCGGCCACAACTGAGGATTAACTTAACATATGCGAACGATACATAACAAATATATTACTTCTTGTTAACGTACATACTACGCGTATCTTCAGAAACGTTAAATACTTCTCTTTTTTAAATCGGTCTAGTGCCAGCAACTTACTACGCGTTACTAGATCTAGGTAGCGCTAGTGGAACGGATTAGGTACCGCCACTATTCCTCTGTGGCAGTTGTATCCGTGTTCGTTTATTTACGAAGTAGGAGTCTAGTCCTCTTCTTGGGAATAAACCTTCTTGGGAACAAATATATGTATTTAATAAACGTATTATGTTCTCTTCACAGCAGATCTTTTATATTATTCTTTCTTGAATACACATATTAAACGTGACTCGATATATCCGACATAGGAAAACGTGTGTATTACTCTAGAATCTTCTTCTTTTTCTTTTTTGTTTTTTGAGCCTCAAGGGCTACAGACGTAGACTCATCAACTTTCCGTTGGAAATAGCCGCGAGGAGTGGAAGTACTAGGGGAATGAATTGTCTCTAACGTAGTGCCACACCTCTATCAGTCATACCGCCATCTGTGAACAGCCGAATTTAATAACGCAGTACTTCTTCACCTCGATCGTTCAAACAGTGAACGCGTGGGTAGTTGGGTGATCGGTATCACGCTGCTTCATTGTACACTAAAAAAACCACATATTACGCATGCATACGCGTGCATTCGTACGTACGTACGTACGTCTCTGCGTGCGTGCGTACGAAAAATCGGAATTATATGATATTCATGCATACGTAATGCACGTATAATTCATTGCATCGGAGTACGACTCGACTTGCCGCACATAATCGCGATTTATTCGCACGAAGACGTGTACGTTGTGAACATCAAGTGAAAATCGTCCGATAAACTCTCGTGTTTACGATATCAATGGAGCGTGGAATTCATCACGATGTATGTGCACGATGAATTGATATAACAAGCAGTTTTGTGGACAGCATAAATAGGAAAGGGGAATATACGGGCTCAGAAATTAGAGCTTCTCATTACTATAATACGTTTCTTATCAATCGGCAGTTTTTCAGTCACGCAGATCGCGCAAATGCACGATTAACAGTCGTGGAGTGGAAATTCGGGTTGCATAGTGGTTAGATTTTCAAGTTTCAGGATGCATCGCAAGTCCAAGTTCGAGGTGGAATATCTTTCGGATGAACACCTCACGGGGTTCGAGAGTTATAAAGTAAGTGTGTGCGATATCGGATAAATATTAATTGTAAAAGTTGTTTATAAATATACATATTAAATATAGATAGAAAACTTATAGATGGAGATAATCTATTCTAAGCTGCATTTAGTCATCATTGCATTACTCATGACAGGTTCCTTGATTTCAGTATAGCTCTTTGGATACGAGTCCCCTGAGTGTATATGTTATGCACCCCTTTTGGAACAAAGTGGTACAGGTACAAATCCTGATTTCAAGAGTAGCAAATCATTATTAATAGATTGATGAAAATCATACTTTTATTTTGAACTAATATGTGTATTTCATAGTGCTGTATAATAATGTCATATTTATTGTAAGTACTAATTGTCTTGTTTCAGTTTTGTCCAAAATGGGTTGCTCCAAATGTACTAACTTTCTCTGGATTCCTTTTCACCGTGTTGAACTTCATGTTGTTCGCGAGTTATGATTACTATTTTTATGCGTCCAGTGATGACAAACCGCAGTACCCTCCCATACCACGATGGGTCTTTGCTGTAGCTGCTTTTAATATTTTTATGGCATATACGCTTGGTATGTGTATTTAATATAGATGTATCACCTCAATGCATGTGTTATTGAATCTTTTAATTCTGAAGCCAAGTATATCAAAATTCATAATATAATTAACATGAAAATTCGTAATATAATTAATGTTGTAAATTATTCTGTTTTATTGATTCTTAGCCAAGAAATAGGTTTTTTGTCGATAAACTATAATTTTTATATTAATATTCGTTAAATTGTAGATGGAATAGATGGAAAGCAAGCAAGACGTACACAAACGTCTGGCCCTTTAGGTGAGCTGTTTGACCATGGTTTGGACAGCTGGACAGCTATGTTAATCACCGTGTGTATGTACTCTGTATTTGGTAGAACTGATCACAGTGTTTCACCGTTACGAATGTACTTCATACTGTGGAATGTATTCATCAACTTTTACCTAAGCCACTGGGAGAAATATAACACAGGTGTATTGTTTCTTCCTTGGGGATATGATGCTTCCATGCTAGTAAGTTTGCTTAAGAAAGTTCAAATTAATTACAACAAAAAAAGATGTTTCGTCATTTCTTTTTTCAAAAGGTTTTTCCAGACATTAAGAGTCTGATTAACTTTTATTGATTGTATTAAATATTTTTATTATAATATATGATAAGATAATATTAAACATCTAAAGAGATTTTGTATTATATTAAAAGCTCAGTATTCTGAAGAGAGATAGAAAAAGAAACGACAAATAATTTTGTTATTAAGTTAACTATGTTCTTATTAGTTGAGATGAAATTTTATTGGCTTTTACCATATTGCTAATACCATTAGTGAGAATTCATATCGGTCTTTTTGTTAATTTTATAGGCGACTGTCATAGTATTTACTCTTACCAGCATAGGTGGACACGAAGCCTGGAAATTCGAATTGCCAGGTGGCGTGTCAGCAGGCATAATGTTTGAAATGTTGTTTTATGTCAGTGCGCTCGTATCCAACCTGCCGGTCGTTCTTTGGAACATATATAAGTAGGTGCATTTCGGCAAATTTTACCATTTTACACGGAGCCTAATAGTTGCACAGTTAGGAACATTAATACGAGATTAATATGAAATATCTTTAAAAGATCTTATAGAGATAAAACTGGCAAGATGCGTACATTCCCGGAAGCGATAAGGCCTTTGGTGCCTCTGGCTTTGCTCTTTGCGATTTCTACAATCTGGATAGTACACTCTCCGAACAATATTTTAGAGGAAGATCCGAGAATAATATACTTCGCCATTGGCACTATTTTCTCCAATATATGTGTAAGATATTCAAATGCGCTTGCACACACTTCCGATTCTATTACTATTTTATTGTACTTTAACGATTTTATTGTTCTCCACTACAGTGTCGATTAATTGTGTCACAAATGAGCAACACCAGGTGCGAGGTGTTACCGTGGATACTATTGCCCGTCACAGTGGCTGCCATCTTTTCATTTATTTTGCCTAATGTAGATTTGGAATCTATGTATGTAGTCTCCGTAGTGGCTCTGCTATCACATATTCACTACGGCGCTTGTGTGGTGAGTAAAATGTTATGTATAGCGTTCTTCTTGCTTCTTTGAAAATTCTAACTAAGTGCAATCTCTCAATTCTTGCGCTCGAAATAGGAGAAATGTACAATTAGACATTCTGGAGAGTTACAAATCGAGAGAGAAAATATATATTGAAAGTACAGCTGAAAAAAACATACGCGTTCTAACATCGTGAATGTTCATCAATGATTTCGTGATTTCAGGTACGCCAAATGTGCCGTCACTTCCGCATTCAAACGTTCTCCATAAAGGATCATTCCGAATGACTACTTGCCGACGATACGTGTTAGAAAAACGAAGAGACCGCAAGACATACAAAAGGATTTCTAAAGATGGAGAGCGAGGCAAACGGGAAGAAAAGATCTGACACACATAAAAATACATAAATTTGTTATTATAGTTAACTATCAGGGGTATTAAGTACCATGACAAGACATATTTATGGATCGAGCGATTTCTAGAACAAATACAGTTTACTAAGATATGTGATAGATGTGCTGTTCGTAAATAGAAAAGGGAAGAGGAAGAGAGAGAAGGAGAGATTCGACGGTATTACTTTGTTTGCATGTCACTTATCACTATATATTATTATATATGTGATAAAGGGGATTTATGATTCAAAAGTTTTCTCATCTTTCGCGATCATGAGGTAATTGAGTTGTTTAATTAACTGTATACAAAAAAACATAAAGTTGTCTAGCATTATTATAAATACTATCGTGAAATTTTGATATAACCTAGTACTCAAATAATACTCAAATATTTATCGAGTAGAACTGTTATCAATCTATGAGCGTTATAACAAAGCGCGTAAACGTCTATTTTTTAACTATGAAGTCTAACAAATGTGAGATCGAGGTCGGCCGGTTTTTATATCTTATATATCTTTTGATAGGAATAATTATAAAACAAACCAAACATATGTTATATAATTCGATTCTCGACTTCCTCTTACGATAATTTATGTTACTTTATGACTTGCCTCATGAAGTGTTATATCATAATGAACAAAACTACCTGAGTCAGCTTAATTATCTTTACTGTGATATGTCTAGTATTTTTCCGTATCATTGATTTTATCTTCCCTTCTCTTTCTCTCTCCCTCACTCTGTTCGTTTTGGATTCATTATTTTTTTTGTATTTTAATGCTGCAGGTATCTTGGAAAAAATATTTACAGTGTTAAAGAATTTAATTTTTCTACCTAAATGGATTTGATATGAACACTTTGTATGAAAACAAGTGATGAAATGTCTTAGTTACTGCAAGTTGCTGCTCAAAACAATCAAGAAAGTCGCATAATTCATCAAAATTACTTGAATGAAATTCCGGAAGAAAGAAAGCACGAAAATCTCACGTTTATATAAACGTGTTCTAAGAAAAATGTTTGAAATATTAAATATTTATATTGAATGACTCAAACATTCTAAAAAGTGATGATATAAAGTAATTACATAATTATTTTTAATAATTTTGTAATTTTGCTCTTGAGATATATATATATATATATATATA